CCCAACTATAATGGACTCATTTCATTGTCAATAAATAACTTGAACAGGATTATGTGCAATACTTTTAAGAGGAGGATTAGGTGGGTGGGGTATCGGTTGTAAATATAGAGAACTCCCTCAATGGGAGTGGTTAAAGTTTTCTGTATTTATCATCAATCCCTTGCCCACCTGACCCTTACTTAGGGCTACAATACCGGTGGCTTCTATAATTTATTATGGAGATTAAGTGTAAAAAGAGCATTCTTGGTGCATCTCCTTCTGTGTCTGATTGAGATTTTAGTTTACTAGATGATTTTCGAGAAAACCTGAACCCTTGTTGTCTATGAGATCTTATTGCTAGATATTTGTCTCTTCTCTCAGGCGAAGAGCTTTCAAAGAAGCAGGCTGCTCAAGAGGCTCAGATTAGGAAATTAAGAGCTCAGGTATGACAATATGCTCGGTTGTTTGAGTTCTCTAAATTTCTGGTAAATAATCTCTTCTTTCTCTTCACTTTCTTATTACTATTCTTTTTCCTTGCCTTTTTGCTACTCTAGATTAGAGAGCTCGAAGAGGAGAAGAAAGGCCTGACTACAAGGCTACAGGCAAGTGCATGCCCTTGAACCGGACATAGTTTGTTTATTACTTTTCCCCTTCCTTTTTATCTAGAATTCAAAATGATATGTTCTCTAATATGAGACTTTATGTTGTATTCAATCTCTTATCTCTCCTGGACAAAACAGTATCATTCAAATTAATTGGTTTTTCACAGTAATAATTGGCTTAAACTTAGTATTATTATATCATATGGATTTGCTAAATTGTAAATACTAGTCTGTATAGACCTTTTATTTCATATTCTCTATCTGCAATTTTTTATGCCTGTTTTTCTATTTGAGATTTTAAATTTGGTAGACTGAACTTCATAGAAAACTATAGGATGCTATTATTTTGTAGATGTTTTCTTCTGTAAAAATGGCCTTAGACTTGGATTGCCATGTTCCATTGGTTGCTGCTTTATTCTTTCGTTTATCTCCTATCTAAACTATCTAAAAAGGAAAAGAAAAGGAAACAATGCTTGTAAGTTTTTACTAATTTTCTTCATTACTTCATTTTGGTCCAACTGATGCAAGTGGATTAAAAAGATTACCTTAGAGTACTTGGGGGATATTTTACTATATTTAGTGTTGTCACTTCTTTGGGTTTATTTTTGTTTGAATTGCATAGAAAGAATTGTGTCATTTATTTCAACTTCTTCATGGTCATGCACCTTCCTATACTTTAAGGTTGAAGAGAACAAGGTAGAGAGCATAAAAAAGGACAAAACAGCTACAGAGAAGTTGCTACAAGAAACAATTGAAAAACACCAAGCAGAACTTGTGACTCAGAAAGACTTTTATACAAATGCTCTATTTGCTGCAAAGGAGGCTGAAGCACTAGCAGAGGCTCGTGCCAACAATGAAGCTAGAACTGAACTGGAGAGTCTATTAAGAGAGGCTGAGGAACGTGAAGCACTGCTTGTACAGACACTTGAAGAGTTGAGACAAACCTTAAGCAGAAAGGAGCAGCAGGTTTTGCATTCTATTAATTGAGATTCCAGATTCTATCATGCTAATGAATGAAAAGCATGATGTTATTGTCATTTTATAACAATGTAGGCTGTTTATCAAGAAGACATGTTTCACAGGGACATCGAAGATCTTCAAAAACGTTATCAGGTGCACTGAGTTTGTACTGGCCTATGTAGATATTAAATCTTTCCTTGGTACCTTTACTTTCAGGAATTTGTTTCTAGTAGTTCACAGCTCGAATTTTGTTTTCTAGGCAAGCGAACGACGGTGTGAGGAATTGATTGCACAAGTGCCTGAGTCTACAAGACCTCTTTTAAGGCAGATTGAAGCCATGCAGGTGAAATTTGTGGTTCTCATGCATTCTTAACAATCTTCAAGGACTGTTGCTCTTCATATATTTGTGCGGATATTGATTGTTGCTCTATTACTGATAGGAAACAACTGTCAGAAGAGTAGAAGCTTGGGCTGCTGTGGAGAGATCTCTAAACTCTCGTCTCCAGGTGTGTATAATGTTATTGCCTGTTATGACATCTCATGAGAATCTTATAGCAAGCCTTATTCTCATAATTATCTATTCTATTGAATTTACAGGAAGCAGAGGCAAAAGCTGCAGCTGCTGAAGAGAGAGAACGATCTGTGAATGAACGCCTATCTCAAACCTTATCGCGAATTAATGTTCTTGAAGCTCAGGTTCTTCATCTGTGACTACGTTATGTTCACTTGCATAAACATTTCTAGATATCAGCTTAACCTTTGTTTTGCTTTGGTTCAGATTTCTTGTCTTAGAGCTGAACAAACACAGATTAGCAAGTCCCTTGAGAAAGAGAGGCAAAGAGCTGCTGAGAATAGACAAGAATACCTTGCAGCAAAGGAGGAAGCTGATACGCAAGAAGGTCGGGCAAACCTGCTTGAGGAACAAATTAGGGAACTAAAACGGAAACATAAGCAAGAGTTACAAGATGCTCTTGTGCACCGGGATCGTCTACAGCAGGTTTTGCTTTTGATCCGTTGTTACGTTAAAATTACTTTCTCTTTGCACATGTAGCTTCAAATAAAGCTATCTTCATTTTAAAATGTTTTTCTCTTTAACTTTGATGAAAAAGAATTCCTTTTTTTATTCTTCACATGATTACAGAAAAATTGCATATATAACTTAGTAGTTGGAAAATTCTCTTAAGTTATCTGCTGAAGTAGATCAGGCATTCTTTTAAGAGTTTCTTACACCTATATGAACATAGGAACCATTTTAACAGATTTGTTAGTATTTAGATCTGATCTCAAGGTTCCATTTACCGAAAGAATCTTTTCATTTGTCACAGGAAGTAGAAAGGGAGAAAGCTGCTCGGTTAGACTTGGAAAAGACGCTGCATGTGCATTCTACGGCTGTATCTGAGCAAGCTCCAATAGCAAGGCGTAATTCCATTTCGGAGAACGGTATGTTGCTTCTTATTATGATGTAGATGATCTTATGCTGCTCTTTACTTATTACGCGACTTTGGTGCAGGAAGCTTGTCCCGGAGACTCTCTACTGCTAGCAGCCTAGGAAGTATGGAGGAAAGCTATTTTCTGCAAGCATCTTTGGACTCATCTGATGGTGTATCCGAAAGGAGAAATATTGGAGAGGCAACCTCAACTCCTCTCTACATGAAAAGCATGACACCCAGTGTGTTTGAATCGGCCCTTCGTCAGAAGGAGGGTGAACTTGCTTCCTACATGTCTCGTTTGGTATGCATTATTCTTCTTTGAGCTCCTGAATACTGGATATTTCTTGATTTCAAGTTGCGGATTGTATCTGTACTGTTTAAATAGCTAATATCAACTAGCTTTATTTGATGTTTACTTCAGGCTTCCATGGAATCTATCCGTGACTCTTTAGCCGAGGAGTTAGTCAAAATGACTGCACAGGTGAATTTTCCATTTGCTACCTAGTTAAACGGGAGTGACGTTTTCTACTGTATTCTTCTTGCCTTTAATCTTATCTACATTTGCTGCAGTGTGAAAAGTTGAAGGCAGAAGCCGCCACAGTGCCAGGAATCCGGGCAGAGCTAGAAGCCTTGAGGCGGAGACACACTGCTGCACTGGAGCTAATGGGTGAACGGGATGAGGAGGTACATGCGTTTCTAATTTCGGATTCTCTCCCTTTTCTGGCTAACTAAATGTTATATTCAAGGATGTATACTATATATGTTACGTTGATCTATGTTCTATTACTTAAGCAGAGACAATATGAGCTTTGCTGAAGTAATATCAGGATAAAAAAATGAATATTCAGAATCGTGGTAGTGTTTTGAATATCTTCTATCCTCGTGTTAATGTATTTCCGACTCATTATGGTTTCCCCATAGGAAAATGAGAATATCATATGATATTGCCGTTATAAATAATGTTCTTACTTTCAGCTGGAGGAACTCCGAGCTGACATTGTGGACTTGAAGGAAATGTACAGAGAGCAAGTAAACTTACTAGTGAATAAGGTATTTTTTTTTCGTTTTTAAAAACTTTATCTCAATTCATGTGTAACATTATATTGATTACTTCCTCTGTGTGTTTGACAGATCCAAGTAATGAGTTCTTCGGCGGGTAATTCTTCGTAAGCGATTATTTTCTTCTTCTTCTTCTTTGTTTGGCGTGGTAATTTTCTAAATGAAAGGATGTCCATGATATACTTTATAGTCAAGTGTTGGTTCTAAAGAAATTTTTCTGTTAAAAAACTCAAACTAGTCGAAATATGTGTTTTGTTGCAAGCGTTTGGTTGATGATGAGCCTGCCTGCCCCTTCAATGATTTTTCTACTTCGGTGTAAACAACAATTCTACCATGTGAAATCTGTGTTTTATTCCATTAGCCAACATCAAAAATTGATTCTATTGCCTATTTTTTTAATCAATTACATAAATAGAAGGAATAAATATTATTTATTTTGAATATTTATTAATTTTTTTACTTGATTTTTCTCTATTTTCCCCCTAATATCAAGCTTAGATTTGCTTTCTCGTAACAATTCACTTTTAACGTCTCCATATAATATGTTAAACGACGCATGGATAGTTTCATGGGTAAACTGCATATGTAGTCATCCAACTATTTTTGTGATTTTGTTTTGGTTACTCTTTTTTCTTAAATAATATTTATTATAAGTCGTCTGGAAAATACAAGTCTGGCAGTCGTTTGGATCACACAACGACTTCTAAAAGTTATTTAGAACACACAACGATTTCTAAAAGTTATTTGGAACACGATGATTTTTGAAAGTTGCCTAGATTTCACGAGTCTTCTTCATATTTGATACATACAAGATAATAGAGATGGTTGGCTAGTTTTTTGGGTAAACTATATATTTAGTCATCCAACTATTTGTGCAATTTTGTTTTGGTCACTCGTTTTATTTTAAAATATTATTAAAATTATGTTTTAGTTATATGTTGTTAGAAAAATTAACGGTGACGATGATGCGTTAACATAAGGCTACATCATTATTAAGAAAGAATAAATACAATCCGTACTTAATTCTCAGAGCTTAGCTTGAGGCTGAGGTGATCTATAGTCATTAGCAGCCGTCCACTGAGTAGCAACTGCAATCAAACGGCCATTGTTAGATTTGCTTCGAACCCCGACCACCATAGATGTCATCTTTCCTCTGTGTCCATTTACCTTTGCTTCTATCTCTACTTCTTCCTGCATCACAATAGTTAATTAATTCATTAAAACCAAAATTAATGTCTTAATAACGCTTGTTTTACGATAAACTGAGATTAGTCTTACTGGTCAAATGTAAGAAAGAAGCAAATGTAACCTGAATCTTTGCCGTAGAATGATATAGAATGTTGAAATTGACGGTGACTTTTAAATGGTGGCCGGTGGAGTATATGGCGGCGCCACCTACGTTGTCGATTATTGTAGCGATGGCTCCGACATGCCAATTCCCATTCATATCCTGCATAATAAACAAGTCTTTTTTTCCTTTACTTGGAAAAACATAAATTAAAATGGAAACTAAATGAGGCGAAATAAATCATCTCTGAATTTGAATTTTGAAATAGACAGAAGATGATTCGTTACGTATACGTAATTCAAAGTCGAAAAAAGAGAGAAGAGAGATTACGGAAGCGTGGGCGGGAACGATGAAGCTACAGCGTAAGAAGCCGGTCTGTGCTTCGATGACCTGAAGACCACGAAGGCTTCTAGCCTCGATCTCGTAACCGATTGCCCCATTCGTGACGTCATCGAGCCATTTTAGAGATGTCTGCAACTGCAAATGCGTCTGCGCAATGCTTCGATCTTCTTCTTCCATCAAGTTCTCGGCCATCGTCTTTCTCCACTAGCTCGCATATATATACACGACAGCTAACGCTTGAAATGCTGTTATTAAATTAGGGAAAGAATCGATGGGAGAAGCCGCCGATTTCGAAACAAAAACGTCGGCGGTGGACATGAGAAAAGTCATCTTATTACGCATCTATTTTGATTCTGTTGATTAGAAGCGTAGAAAAGGTCGCATGCCTTGTATGACTTTGTTTTCATTAAGATGCAATTCGAATCTGTTTTTTCCACTTTCAAAAACCAAAATTCTAAAATTCGGTTGATCAGAATCGATTAGTCCCATTTTGACTTTATGGAAGGCGATACTGGATATTATTTTTTTTCATTAATCTAGGATAAATATAAAATCGTATCTTTTTAAATATAACTCTCAACATTTAACGCTCGTTCTTCTGTAAGTACTAACTGTTTAACGGCTAAATTCACTAATCCATTAAATATGAATGATAAATAATTTAATTAACATTATTTAAATAATGACTTAATTAATAAATAAGTGATCGAATTAGAACTTCCAATGTAGTTATCTCTCTCTCTCTAAAAACATGGATGTTTTATTTACTATACAATGCTAATACACCATAAAATGAAATAATTATAGTATATTTGGTTAACTCAGTTTTAAAATTATTTCAAGTCCGATAATTGATCTGTAATTATTGTGTTCACAATAAAGATTGCTCACTTTTCATCAACCAACCGTCTCTTCAGCTCCTTCTTATTCACCTGGAAATTTAACAAAAGCATGTATATATATATAAACTCATTGCGATTCTTGCGAAGCACGTTAACCGGCACGCTTGAAACAATAGTCAAAGAAGAAACTCACCTTTCCCATCGCATTACGAGGAAGAGAATCCCACAACATTAATCGTGTTGGAAGCTGGAAAAGACACAATCGTGATTATTATTCTTTAGTTAATGCTCTCAGGCCATGGTTCACAAACTGCAATGAGCTCATCCAAAATATGAAGTGCATTGATTTGTCACGATAATCACCCATCGATCGATGAGAGGGAGAATGAGGTCAGCGATCGATCGACGACCGTACAATTGATTTTTAGTTCATATTAAGAAATAGAGAGAGGAAGCCTCTGGTGTGCTTGGCTTGCTGATGAAAGGTTCATTGGGAACACATTTAAGAGAAACTCTATCCTGCTAACTTCATAAAAACTTGGTTTGGTGGGAGATCACTTTAGCTTCCAGTTAACAATTTCAGCAGAAATCAAGATGGCACTGAATCGAGAGGTCCAGATTGCATGATTCGGCATTAGAAAACGAATTCGTTAAAGATAGAAATGCACTATTTAACCTTGTATGGAGCAAGTTTGTCTTTAGCCCAGTTGCAAAGATCTTCCAAACTGAAAGCAGAATTCAACTCATCTAGTTCCCTTTTTCGTTCCGACTCCAGCACCACTATTGCGGATACAGCTTCTCCATAATACTTGTCCAGTAAGAGAAACACACAGCATTCTGCTATATCAGGGTGATGCACAAAAAATAAATTTAGCCTGCTGATGATCGTTTAATCATTTACCCCTCTGTCAAGGGTGATCTTTTGTTTCGGTTTCCCTTGAAAGGAAATCAAAGAACAGATATTTAAAACAAAAAGAAAGGGGTTTCATGACTCGGAATAGGAATATAGAGAGGACGAGTTTACCTGTAAAAGCACCGATTCAATTTCCAAGGCAGACAATTTGTATCCTCCAACCTTCAATATGTCAGCACATAAAGGACATGATCTGAACATGAAACTTGAAGCTAAACTGCTGGAGTTCAACCAAACAGAGAAAGCAAACAAACATATTCCACATCCAACAGTAGGTAAGGCATAATGTATTGGCAGTAACAACCAGAAGGATCATGTGATGAGCAACATTGAGTGTTCTGAAAGTTCTTAAATGCATGTCATTATCACCGATTTTTTTATAAGAAAGAGAAATGACAAAGATTACAAAGAGAATGTCGGCATAATTTATCACAAACAAATAAACATCGAAAAATCAACAACACAAAACTAGACATCCTTACGTCCCAAAATGACATAGTATCCATCTTCATCCACTCTACAAGCTTCCCCAGTCTTGAAGAACCCATCTTCAGTAAACGATTCCTTGGTTACCTATTTTTAGGAAATTAACGAGTTCAGCGTTTACTGTCCTTGAATTTAATGAAAAATTTGCATGACACATCTAGGACTTCTCTAGCCCAAATTTTGAATACAGGTCTTAGTCCTTGACTAAGAGAAAACGAAGGGAGCACCATTTCCCTAAATTCAAGAACAGAAAAGAAGAAGCACCGAGAATTAAATTCCAGCAAAACTGGAAATCCTAAAAAAGACATTTCATATCGCGGGGTTGGGATCAAAGCAACAATGGAGTCTTTGAGTTTAATGTGACAGTCACCCTATGTCCAACATTGATATTATATCCGACATATTGTTGTAAACTATCATTAAAAGTTCAAGAAATATACTAAGTTCCAATTACTTGTGCGCATTAGTATGCCACAATGTCTAATTTTATTTCTCAATCATTTTCATTTTTTATGGGAACTTAACAGTAAGTACTACATTTGACGCTCAGCTTGCAAACTATTACCTCAAACGTTTGAGTCTATGCTTCAAGATTTGCGAGGAGAAAAATGAGCAAGGGTACAATTACATCAGTTTCATCAACAAATAAATGTGGACAAATGCATACGATGGTGGATATCGATATGGACACATGACGACCAACTTGGCTGAGACTATCAATTTTAAATGGGGGCGCCATTTACCAGTAACAACTTTGGTTAAAACAACTTGTTTTTGTTTGGGAGCGCTTTTTGCAAAGCTCGGGGACAAGCTCTAACTTGGATGCAAAACAGTCATACTTATCACCCAAGATTAATCGCAGATCTACAAAAAAATAATTGTTACATTAAATGGAATGTTTGTAACAAGCTTCTCTCGAACCCATAAATTGTTTTATGTCAGAAAAATGCCACGACCTTTTCAAGGGATTGAAGCTAACTCGTTAAGAGTTAATCTATAAGACAGATGATGTGACTATGTGTTTTTTCAAGCTCTGAAGTATCTATGCTCCCATGTCATAGCAGTTTGCTCTTATACCTGTCAAGAATATAACCGTTTTGTGGATCCCGTATAGCGATTTTTAGAAGTATTTAAGGTATATGAATTTGAGTTTTCCCATAGGTAATGAGAAAGACCAAGATGAGGTTTAAAATTGGCTTCCGATTATACCAAATATATCTGCATTAAGAGAGCAGGTCTTCTAAATCCTCTCGAATTTATTGTGATATGGATTTTCGAGAGACGTCCAAAGTAAACAAAATATGTGATTATTGTAGAAACCTACGCCTAATAAGAAAAACATATATATCTCTTTTATCATCACATAATCGTTGTTGTTTAGTAATTATAAAGTAAATCAAAGACTAGCAGAGAATGAAGTTCAGTAAAAGTAGGAAATGTAAAATTATATAATATCTATAAAAAGTATAAATTATTATTGACGGAGTTATAAAATTTATGTATAGTAATCATTAATCAAGAGTTTAAATTTTAAATAATGGATTTTATTTGTTTAATTATAATTTTCATAAGTAATAGAGATATATTAAAAATAAGAAAGAAATTTTTAAATAAAAAAAGTAATTGAAAATATTTGTAAACGATAGAATTTATTATTATTTTACAAATAAAAAATTATTATAAAATTTTAAAATTAATGTCGAATTGATCTGTAACACCAATTTAATTATGAAATTTAAGTCCGTAGAAATTCTCAATTTTGTTAGTTTATGTATTTTAGAAGGCAAAATTGATTAAATGTTTATTATAAGTTTGTATTTTTTGTTGTCAATTACAACATACTAAGACTACGTTTGAAAAGTTATCCAAGGACGAAATTTGAAAAATGGGGTCAAAGTTGAATTAAAAAAATCAAGAGTTTGAAATACAATTTTAACATCGTATTGATTTAGAATTAATTTTATAATTTTAGGAGTAAAATTATAAAATTATTATTTTTGAGAGAAAATTTATAAAACCCCAAAATTTTCCTATGAGACTCATATTTTCATACTCTCTTTTATTCATCACTGCCACATTTTTTCTTTGAAATCCAAATGGTGGAGACATTGAGGAGGAGAAAGATAATATATTTCGATTTCACATTGATAAAATGGTGAATATTACAAATCATACTCAGAAAAATTTCAAGTTTTTATTCAAATTTTATCGATTTTAAGAAAAACGAAAAAAGGAGAATATTGATTTTAAGTTATTTTAGAATATCAACCAGTTTAAGAATTAAATTAGATATTAATATTTTCTGTTCATAGATCACTTTATCAATTTAATGGGAGTCAATTATACAATGAAAATTGTGTTTATCAATAAATTTAGTGATCATAACATAACATTTAAAACATTAGTAACCAAAATAAAAGTGAAATGGAACTTTAGTGACTTTGAGTGTACTTTACCCTATGAGAAAAGAAAGTTTGGACCTCCATATTGTGGCCCCTTTTATCACCAAAAAAGGACCAACCAAGTAGTCTAAGTCCAATAAAATAATTCAAACCCAATTTAAACTAAACACATGTTTTAACTAATTCCCTTATATAAATTTGATTTTTTACGTAAAATTAATTTTTCATTAAATAAAAAAATAAAATTATTTTTTTAAATACTGGGTGAATATAATATAGTATTTGTTCAAAGATTCTCAACCATTTAATAATGAATTCCCATACTGTTGCATACGCTATACTTAAGTGTAAGACATCGACATATAACAATAATCTCTTAATTACTGAGATTGTTTAGTTTGTGTAATCATAATCTTTCTTTAAATATGTGCAATCTATCAAAAAGTTTAACAACTATTGATAGTCTTCCTCTTTCTGTTTAAAACTATGCAATATTTATGTAGGTATAGAAATTGAGAGAATTAATCTCACGAACAGTTCAGAATGTGTTGATAAATTATTGTAAAATGAAATTTAATTATACGGGATTGTCGACTTTATATTATCATGAAGTGAATCATGATGAATACAACATGAAACATAAAAGTATAGTAATGATAGATAAAATTATAGCATAAAAACATAAAAACATAAAAACAATTATATCGTAAAAATAGACAAAATCAACTACTTTAAAGATATGCAAAAAAATTAAAATGAAAAAGGCAATGATATAGGAGTGAGAGTTCGATCGAGTCGAGTCAAAAAATTTTGAGTTATTCAAGTTGATGATTCCTATTTTACAACTGGGACTTGATTTTGAAATTTTTTGAGTAAAGTTGAGTCTAAAAAATTAAAGTCAAGTCGATTTTTCGAGTTTATGTTCAAATTTAATTGTAAATATTTATAATATTATAATATTATTTTATTCAAATTTAAGTGACTTTCTATAACCATATATATAAGAAAAATATTTTTTTTTTCATATTTGATATACATATATCATATAAAGTCCAAGGACTTGACTTAAACTTGAAAATAAATCTACTAATTATTAAAAATTTGAAGTTATTCGAGTTGCATTTTACAATTCGATTTGAACTTGAAATTTTTTCACGTCGCGTCGAATTTATGAAATTACAACTCGAAATCAATTCAAATAAAAAAATTCAATTTTCGAGTCGAGTTTTGTTGACCTCTAATGATACTAAGCCGCGGCCTAAGAAAACTTTTTGACTTTATAATTTTTAAAATTTCAATTAGTGAAAAGATCATTTCAGAAATATTTAGTGTCTATTTTTGTATTTTACCCTATATATATTTTATATATGGTAGATTACGCATCTGGTCATGGTCTTCTAGATTGAAAACCGTAGTAAGAAAAGTCATCGGTCTTCGCTTCAACGATGGATTCCATTGCCAAACAAGTCTTGGTCTTTACCGATTACATATCCAAGAAATTAATGTTAAATTCGTTGACCACCCCCCTTCTCATCGTCAATTAGAAGAAGATAAAAAAATGCATCCGAAACTGAGAGAAACCTTGCAAGAAATCGAAGACGATGATATCCTGAAGCAACTCATCGGATGGTTTCAGGATCTCGTCGACGGAACCATCGGCCAAGAATTGGAAACCCGATCTCTCCAAGGACTGCGCATCACCCATGCTAGGAAAGGATATTTACGATCCGAGTTCGCCGTACCGAGCCTCGCCGCTGTAAAAACACAATCAGAATCCAACTACAAATGATTTTTCGTTGTCCCCCCCCCCCCAATTTTAATACACTGATTTCGTTTTTTTTAGGATGTTAATGGGAATTGGCATGGAGGAGCTATTGCGATCTTGATGGACGCCGTGGGAGCGGTTGCTGCGTATTCAGCTTTCCATCATGTCATCAAATCAGTTGATTTCAGCATTTCGCATTATTCGACGGCTAAGATTCAGGTCAGTCAATTCGGTCAGGGTAAACTACATCCATAGCCACTTATCTATGGATAGATTTTAAATTGATCATGTATCATTAAATTTTATTAATTAGACTAGTTAATTTTTTAAATGGTCTAATCAAATCACCTGTCAAAATATAGGGAAGTTGATGTGGGAGTTAAAATGTTAGTATAATGGTACTTTTGGTTCTTATTGTTCACACAGTGTGTAAATTCGATCCTAATTTTAATTTAATTCACAAATCAGATTATGTCACATGATATCATCTGATTAAAAGATTAAATTATTGGATTCAAATAAAATTATGACCAAATAGATAAAATATGTGAATAATTGTGACAAAAAAAATAAAATTATACCAATTTTTTAAAATTACCACGTCAACTTCTCTGTTAAATGTTAATGTCTTGATTGGTACAATATAAATATTCAACGGGTTTGATTGAAAAAACTAAAAGATCGATGGCCAATTTAAAAATCTATCAGTAATTGGTCTTGAGTGTGATTTCCCCATTGGGTTATATCGAGTATTGTTGTAGATTGGATGAACATGTGAGACATTGTGCAGGAAGAGGTGGTGGTGGAAGCGAAGGTTGTGGGAAATCACGACAAGCTTGTACAGGTGATGATGGAGGCTCGAATGAAAGCCAATAACGAGCTCATTGCTTCGGGCAAAATGTGGGCTGCTTTGAATAATTTCGCCATCACTACTACATCCAGCAAGCTTTGAGAATCTGGCCTTAATATTTACCATGTATGTCGATTTCACTTTCTTTACATCTACCATCACGAATAAGGTGTACTGATTGTTATAGTTTAAAACAATGAGAATAATGTATTTCCAGACTCAACCATTTCTTTGTTCTTTCCTTTATAATTAAGTTTGGGTCTCAAAATCCAACATGGAGAGTATTGAAACTTAACTTTAGTGGGCGCTTGATTCACGAAATATAAGATTATCTTTGAGAATAATATTATTGGAATGTTATCTTACTATGAGAATGTTGTATCACATTGTTTGGTTTGTTTAGCAGGAATGTAAAATTATAGTAGTTGGTTTGAGGAATATAAGATTACTTAACTGTCTATTTTATCAAATTATACTTGTGATATATGTTTTTTTTAAAAAGAAGTTAAATTTTAATATTAAATTATAAATATTTGAATGAAAATTCATAGAATTTTTTTTTTTGGTGAATAAAAGTAAAAACTTAACTAGAACTAAACTAACAAAATCACAATCTCATCATTGCTCCGTCTTCCTGGAGAATTGATAGAATAGCCTCTGGAGGCGTTTCGAATATTAGACCTGCAAATTCCTTCTTTTGTGCCATCGTTGCTAAGCTGTCAGCTATTTTGTTCGCATCCCTTCGGATATGCTTTATTTCTACCTTCCATTGTCTCTCCAGCAGCTCAAGTATGTGCATGATGATAGTAGGCGACGCTACCTTTGGCGAATTCCGGATTAATAATCTATAAGCATCAGCACTGTCTGTCTCTAGAATCGCCTGTCTTTTTCCCAGTCTCCATGCATGTAATAGCCCCTCAAATTCACCCCAAAGTTCTGCTTCAAGAACCGAACATATCCCCACTGCTTTTGCAAAGCCGATCAGCCAGTTTCCATTGCTATCTCGAATTGCTCTCCCACATGCTGCATAACCATCCTGAATGTCTCTTGACCCATCTACATTGGTCTTCACCCATGCAGACGGTGGAGGTATCCATTGGGGATCTCTTTATTCCTTCCAGTTTCCCGGTTGCTGAGTAGTATTGGCTGATTCCCTTGCTCTCGTATGCTTTCCTGATGTAATGTTCTACCTTGATCTAACACTGAAAATTGTCCTCGTTTTTCTGGGTCGAAAATGTGTATATTCCTGTGTTTCAAAGAGCCCATAATATGGAGCCAAACAAAAGGTCCCAGTCTTTCGCATCTATCGCAAAATGTTCTTGCTTTTCTAAGTTAAGTAAAATCAATTCCTTTGTGTTTATACTCAGGAATTTAGTAAGTTATGGTTTAATGCTCCTCCACCAAATTTCCAGGGCTGTTGGGCACATTCGTAGAACATGGTCGATTGTCTTTTCCGCCGCTCCACATATGTCGCAATTAGCCCGTGTACTCATATGTCGACGTACTCGCTCACTATTTGTGAGGACACTTTTGTTAGCAACAAGCCATTAGAAGATTTTTACTTGTTTTCCTCGATACTTGGCAATTGTTGTCCATGTTTTATATTCTGCACTTAAGGTATGGTCAGTGCGGACATCATATGCTGATCGAACCGTAAACAGTTGGTCTTCTTCTTTGCATAGTGCATTCATGGAAGAACTTAGTGTTTTTATCACCATTCATTACCCATTGCTGTCGTGATTTTTGCATCCATAAGCTTTCCTCTTGTGCCAAAACTTCATCAAGTTCCGTTTTAAGTTCTGCCTCCAATTGAACCAGGCAGTCTAAGTAGAATCTACGTAGTGCGTTATCGATCCCTTGCAGTCGAGTTAATAGTATTTTCTTCCCTTTTTCCAATGTGGCCGAAAACTGATGTGTTCCAGTCCCTAACTTTTAGTTTAAATATTTCAATATTAGCTAGAACATTCAGTTTATCTTCCCATTCCTCTCGCACAAGATTAGCAAAATCCGGGTGTTCTTGCCATGCTGCTATAAAGCAAAATGGTCTATCTTCAGCCCTTCCACTCAGCTTTGGAGCATGAAATAAGAGCGGGCAATGATTGAATCCCACTCGAGCCAAGTGTGTAACGAGGGCCATAGGAAAGAGTTTAGCACATCCTTCATTAAAAAGGCACCAATCCAAGCGTTTCAAAATTCTCCCTTGTTTCCATGTGTATTCATCTCCTCTCAATCCAATTTCTAGGAGTTCCGCTTCAAAGATAAAGTCTTGAAACATCTTACTAATTCTAATGTTGGGAAATAAACGAGTAACAAGTAATTTCCCTATAACCAGATTTGTGAGAATGCAAAATAAAAGCGGAAAAATAATACCCGAAATTGATAACGGAGTTCAACCAATTTTGCCTACGTCTCCGGACTGCTGCAGATATTTTACTAAGAGAGAAAATTTACAGGTGTTTACAAAACACTCACAAGAAAGCTCTCTAACAATGGGAGAAAGAAATGATTTTTGTGATCTTGGGATGATTTTGAAGCTAAATGAGCTAGGGTATTTATAGTTGATTAAGGACTTAATTTTGTAAATACCCTAAAATACAATGATTAAATGTATGATTTAACCATTACCAAATTCAACCAAAATTTCCAACCTTTGAAATAAGTACCATTCGGTGCTAAACATTGTTGAAAAAACCCAAGCCCCCCTTTGAAAAAAATGCATTAGGCGGTGCCCACCCCTTTGATAATTTCCATTTCCTTGAGCCACTATTATTGACTTCCAACAATCTCCCACTTGAAGACTAATTTTAATATGTCTTCACACCTCGATCAATGCAGCAATATTTCTGGTCTTGTTATTCTAGCATGCCAACTGAAGCTGAACACAACTTCAGTTTGTCCGTAGTCACCGTCTTTGTCAACATGTCTGCCAGATTTTGAGCTACACTGATCTTTTCAAGTTTCAAAATCCCATCTTCCAGAAGAGACCGGATAAAATGATATCACAATTGTATGTGCTTCTTCATCGAATGAAAAAGATGGATTCTTCGCTAGATGGATAGCACTTTGACTGTTGCAATACAAGATATTGTTTTCTTGTTTCTTGCCTAACTCTTCTAAGAAACTTTGGAGCCAGACCATCTCCTTGCTGGCTTCCGTAACAGCGACATATTCTGCTTCAGTTGTGGAGAGAGCAACTATCTTCTGTAGTTGAGAAACCCAACTCACTGCAGTACCTCCTAGAGTATAGACATACCCTGTAGTGCTCCTTCTGATGTCAACATTTTCGGCTAAGTCAGCATCTACATAGCCTATCAATATCGTATCTCCACTTTTGAAACAAAGTGCTTTGTTTGTAGTACCCCGCAGATATCTGAGGATCCATTTGATTGCTTCCCAGTGTACTTTGCCCGGATTATTCATGTACCTGCTAACAACTCCCACTATATGAGCAATATCTGGTCTAGTACAAACCATGGCATACATTAGACTTCCAATTGCTGAGGCATACGACACATTCACCATGTGTGCACGTTCTTCCTCCGTCTTTGGTGACTGTTCTTTGGAGAGTCTAACATGAACACCTAAAGGTGTACTTACTGGTTTAGCATCTTGCATATTAAACCTGGAGAGTACTTTGTTGATGTACTCAACCTATGATAATATCAAAGTCCCTGACTTTGTGTCTCTCTTAATCCTCATCCCAATAATCTGCTTTGCAGCGCCCATATCTTTCATTTCAAACTGCTTCGACAATCTTTGCTTCAAGTTTATAATCTCTTGCAGTCTGAACCTGCAACAAGCATGTCATCAACATACAATAATAAAATAATGAAGATGTTGTCGAACTTCTTGATGTAGCAACAATGATCTGCTTGGCATCTGGTAAAACCACTGCTACTCATTAAGCTATTGAATTTCTTGTACCACTATCTAGGAGCTTGTTTTAAACCATACAAGCTCTTCTTCAACCTGCATACCAGGTTTTTCTTGCCTGCCTCAATGAAGCCTTTTGGCTGCCTCATATAGATTTCTTCCTCCAAATCACCATGAAGGAAAACTGTCTTCATATCTAACTGCTCAAGATGTAAATTCTCTGTAGCTACAATTTTCAACACCAGTCTGATTATAGACAATTTTACGACTGGAGAGAAAATTTCATTGTAGTCAATACCTTCCTTTTGCTGAAAACCTTTGACAACCAATCTTGCTTTGTAGCGTTTACTCCCATCGTGCTATTCTTTGATCCTGTAAATCCACTTGTTATGGAGTGTTTTCTTGCCTGGTGGTAATTCAGCTAATTCCCACGTCTGATTTGACATAAGTGAGTCCATCTCATCTTTCATGGAAGACTCCCACTTGACTGAATCCTCCACTTGCATTGCTTCATCATAGCACTCTGGTTCACCATTGTCAGTCAGCAACAAGTAGTACAAAGAAGGCGAATAACGCTGGGTTGATTTAGGAATTCTGGAGGAGCGTCTTAGTTCCGGTGTGCCTGGTTCTTCTTGAACTACTTCAGGACTAATATGAACATCATTTCTAGAAATCTCCTCGAACTTAGCAAATTCCTTTGTTTCAGCTTTGGTATTGGAGCTGCTTGATTCTACAGTTGACATGTCTTTGTACATCACATTCTCATTAAAAATGACATCTCTGCTTCTGATGATCTTCCGATTTTCATAGTCCCAAAACCGGTAACCAAACTCATCACCGCCATAACAAATAAAGGCAAATTTGTTAGACTTAGCATCGAGTTTACTTCTTTCAGCAGAGTCTATGTGTACATAAGAAATACAACCAAACACTCTTAAGTGTGAAAGGTTTATTTCTTTCTTGCTCCAAACTTCCTCTGGTATTCTTCCATCCAAAGGAACTGAGGGCCCACGGTTAATCAGGTAAGCTGCAGTGTTGATAACTTCAGCCCATAGAAATTTGGGTAATTCGGTATGTATCCTCATGCTTCTGGCACGTTCATTCAGAATTTTGTTCATGCGCTCTGCTACGCCATTCTACTGCGGTTTCATGGGAACTGTTGTCTCCATCTTGATCCCATTGTTTGCGCAGAAATCTCTGAATCTCCTATTTCTGTACTCTCCTCTATTGTCAGACCTCAACCGCTTGACTTTCAGACCGGTCTCGTTTTCCACCATGGCATTCCATTTTCTGAAGGTA